TAATTCGTACAAAGTAGCTTCAAAATGAGAAATTATATGCCGGAAATTGCAAAGAAATATTACAAAATGATACTCATGTCGTAGAATGCCTAAATCAATTCACAAAGAAAAGAAGAAAATGTGAAGAGATGAAAATGAAGAGTCCATTATTCGCCATATGACACTATGTTTTTGCGTAAAAAACGACACCAATGATAAAAAAAGAAAGAGCAATAAAAAAAGCTAAGTACAAACACGCCAAAAATAAGCCTAAACCCAAAACTCTGCTTGGAGAGTAGTGTGTGTAAATTTGGTCATTGGTTCAAACTTCATGACCACGTAGATTTCATAATGAAGGCAACCTTTTTGCAAATCTTTTCCCTGAGAATTCATCCATATAATCAAATCAACATGGCCTAATTATACATACGAACAGTTCCACGTAAGAATGATTTATTGTGAGGAGTACCTGGAACGATATCGATCTGGCAGATGAAGAGTTGACCTTCGTGGCACGCCATGTCAGACCACACGCTTAGCCCACGTGAATCCGACAACGTCACACAATCTTCAACGTCACTGTGGTAATTCGGTTGTCCCTTCCCCCAAGGGCTGAACTTCCCAAGTGGAGTACCGTCCATCCACTCAAAACTTCCCTCTCGGATCCGATCGTGTAGGCCAAGCCAGAAGTGGTCACTGGGTGTCAATAATGTGGTGAGAAAGGCGTTGGTATCGCTGTCTTTGGGCATGGCGAGGGTACCACCATCTTGAAGACAGGCCAAGGCCGCATCGCTGAAGGCCTTGGGTGTCGTAAATGTCTTGTAGCAGGTCCCACGAAACTCTGTATACTCATTGGGACAGAGGACTGGAAAAACAGACATACAGAATGGATATTAGTACGACTTCCTTCGTTGCACTATGCATAGCCCCGGGTTTTGTGTGCCTTTGCGCTTGCTTGTGCTGCCACATGCTAGGCATCTCAGGGAAGTTACTAAGTTAGGTCAAAGGTCCCAAAATTTAATCTAATCTCCTGTTTTCAATATGTATGTCTGGTGCCTTCTGGGAACCAGTCGGAAATGCATCGGCATTCACAATGATGAAAAAGGCCCTAAATATTTCACTGCAGTATAAGATCTTCGACTTCTTGTTGTGACATGTGTAATTTATGTCTAACTTGTGTTTGTCGTCAAACGCCCTCATTTTCATGTAAGTTTGTGTCCTGTAACGAGACAACAAGGCAAACAGTTGAGAAATCAGGGAACAAGCATCATGACAGAAAGTACAAATTTGGCACAAGTTAACTATTCAAACGTTACAGTTCTGCTCGTATGACAAAACGGATGTCTCACCCGTAGACGACATGCTCCCTGTAGATGTTTGATGGCGTTCGAGCGGTCCGGCAGGACTTGTGGACATCGGCATTCCAGGCGGCCCAACTGGCCCCATCGGGCCACGAGGTCCTGGTGGCCCGGGTGGCCCCGGTGGCCCAACAGCCCTACCTGTTCGTGAATAGTTTAATCAGGCTGGTAAGTCACTGAATAAAGGTACTCTTTTTCACAATAACAGGAAGGGCTGAAGACAGAGACTCTTTGTACAAAACCAAGTGTTTTATTTAGCTGACGTTTTGGTGACCGTCTGTCACCGTCGAATGACCCTTAGGGTAATTCTGACTGGCTCACATTGCACAGCACGTGTCGCACAGGTGGGATTGCATCTATAGCAGTGACACCTATGCAATGTGAACCAGTCAGAATTGCCCAGAGGAAGATGACAGATGGTCATCAAAATGTCGGCTGAATAAAACACTTGGTTGTGTAAAAAGAGTTTGACATTCTTAGCCCTCCTTGTTATTGCCATTACAGATGAGTGTTAGAATAAGAAATGCTGAGATGCAAACGCGTAAGTGTATGTTGATCGAATAATGCTATACTGGCATCGTCTTTCAAACATATAATCAGAAAATGTTGTATTTTGGCTTCATATAATCTTAATCACCACCTCATTAAAAATGAGTCAACTCATTATATTACAGCTTACCTATCGCCTTGGCCATTTCCTGAAGACGCTGTTCCATGGCGGCAGTTCGGTTATGCTCCTTGTCCAGGACGCGTTTCCAAGCGTGAAAAGAGTTGGACAGTTGCGACATTTCCTGCAAAATCAGAAGATCGAAAATGAAAGAAAGAAAGAGAGAAAGAAAGAGAGAAAGAAAGAAAGAAAGAAAAAGAAAGAAAGAAAAAGAAAGAAGACTGGGCATGTATTTTCAGAAAAAAATTTTCATGATTGATATATTTACCATACAGCTTCACGTAAATTTGTAATATGGCGCTGGTAGTTACCTGTTTAGTTATAAACACCGTCAGGGCGAGTCCCACAATGGCCAGGGTTACCAGCGTGGCGACTATACAGCTGCGGCGGGCGCGGAGGAAGCTGTAGAGAGTATGGCGGCCGCTTGTTCCATCCGAGTACGCGTTGTCCGCTAGAAATGGTATTTGGTACAGACTTTCACATTTGTGATCCAAGCCAGCAAGTGTTTACGTATAAATAGTATGTCTATTTGACATCACACAACGAAGATACTTTTACGAGAACAATATGCATTGTACTTTGGGGGAACTGGCTAGAAATGATATTTGGTGCGGACTTTCATGACGCACATTTGGATCCAAGCCAGTAAGTGTTTTCGCGGGAATAGTAAGTATATTTGACATCTCACAACGAAGGTACGTTCACGAGAACAATATGAATTGTACTTTGGGGGGACTGGCTAGAAATGTTACGATTTGGTGCGGACTCAGTCTATCAATTCATAACGCACATTTGGGATCCAAGCAAATAAGTGTTTTCGCAGGAATAGAAAGTATACAGTATTTGACATATCATAACGAAGATACGTTCACGGGAACAATATGCATTGTACTTTGGGGAACTAGCAAAGATACGAATCTGTATTACACCGCCGCTATTAGAAAGTTGTTGTCCCAGGCGAACAGCCAAAATTACACCATAAGCAGGCTGTATCCAGACAAAAAGAAAGGTATGTACAGAGGAACACAGTACCTGTAGACATGTCAACGGTGTAACTTAAGTTGACATGACGTCTGGTGTTTTCAATATGGACCCCCGCCTCTAGGTTGGTTTGCAGCAGTTGAGCCCCGTTTGGAAGCGGCGAGAGATGCATTGTGTAGTACTAGACTCTATTGAGACCCGAAGACGTTCCTCTGGCTTGTCTTTTGTCGGATTCCAAGGCAGAGGTCTGGGCTGGTTGTTCTTGGTACCGTATCTGTACCGTACTGGCACTCATGGGCAGTTTCACAGTTTATAACAGAACGTATGAATATGGTAAATGATACCAGGAAAAGTCGTGATCCCATTTTACGTAAGTGCAGACGTTGTACTGGTGAGCCATTGCATGCGTTCTTTTCTGGAAAAGGCAGGCTACTTTTCGGGGAAACGTGAAATAGGTCAAGCTAAGATTTCCAAAATTATCTAACATGACATTTCGCGGTACGGCGCTGAGGTTTCGCGGAATCCTTCAATGATCTTTCCGAAAAGGTAACGAAACGTGTCTCTGTTTCTGGGATGCTGTGACCGAAGACATGGTGGAGGGAGAAGTCTGCGTTGGTAGTACAAATCAGATCTTTGAAGAGGGTAAAAACGTCATTGAACGTATGTTCATTGCATTACGAAACGCAGTATCTATAGAATGTCAGAGCATGCACCAACGTTATGGAACATTCTGAGAACATCAAATTCAGCTACACAAGTTAAGTTTCATGCCAATATTTACAATAAGAGCAAGTGGTTGGTTTCTGCCGCTGCGCCGCGTGCCTGCGAAGCCGGTGTGTTACGCCGAAGGGCCGTTATACCGGCTATACAGATACAGACACAGACTGATGGTATAAAGACAAGTCGCAAGAGTTATTACTATTTTGTCATAAAACTAGACTGGCAGTTGTGATTCGCAGTGTGTCAGCCTACATTTGATTTTGCAATGTGCGCGTAACGTTATATGCATTATGCAAGCACTAATGTTCGGAAGGACGGAAGCACAGATGCCAGACCAATTTTCCAAGAAAAGGCGTCAGTCCAAGCCAGGAGCCTTGGTCACACCAAAACCAACTTTTCAATTGAAAGCCACAAATTTTTGATTGCTGTAGTTATGTTTGTTGTGGTAACGAGGCCGTCGTTGTCGTGGCAGGCACGATGACATGCGCCGTTTTGAAGCCGGCACCATGTAACTTTAGCAGGAAAATAAAAAAAATATATGCTCGGCCGACGAGTCTGTCATCTCAGACGGACGGTGTTCGCACTAAGCCCCGTACATTGTGCATGTGTCAGGGTAGACTTTCAGGTGAAAAATACGCTCAATTCTTTGCCGACCTAGACACTCTTAAAGGCATCCAATGCAGTTTTTATTGCTTGAATTGCCCGATTTTTTAAAGCCAATATTCCAGTCACTTATCTACATATTGAGTTGAAACCACACTATCCCAATATATATTGACCCTCATGGAGCAAGACTTCCCGAAATTCTAACGGAGAATCGTTACTGGAAGGGCCCTGGTCTGATTTTTAGGGTACCACCCAGAAAATAAAGGACTCATCTTGGGCCTTGTTTCTGCAGTTTTAAATGCCCGAAGTATGAAATGCTGATTCAAATGTTCTAATGTGAAGCAGCATGTGTCAATATCACAAAGATTGCCTTATTCAGAATATTTCCAGTTTTGCTGCCCTGAAATCGCATTGGATGCATTTAACGTCAATGGAAACAATTTTCAAACATCAAACTGAGTTGAACTGACAGAACCTACTTCATTTATCGTGATCAAACCGATATCAAACCTATGCTATTTTTATCCTCCTTAAGTCGGTTTATATGTTCATCTCCGTATGAAGTACCGTCGAGCACCGTCGCCAAGGCACCGACGCTGTCACACGGCATATTTGAACAGGTTAAACATTTCCCACATCTACACTACAACCCTTCTATGCCAGGGGACCTACCCAACAGTCACACATACGTTACACACACACCACAGCACAGACATGAAAGACTCAGATCGCGAATACCCGCGCTTTTGGCTCCTTCGCCTCCAGCTGTCGTCCCTGTTGCTAGTGGCAACCAGCGGGGTGTGGCTGTACATCAGGGTGCTGGTCCGGAACGACCTTGCTGTAGCAGAGGGGTCAGAACAAGATGGCGGCGCATTGTTGTGGGTTAGTGCCTTGCCGTCCTACGCGCTGGTGTTGGTGTTTTTAGCGGGACTTGGGGTCACGGCGTACGCGTGTCGACCGGAGAGTGAATTCATGGTGCCTGGCTTGCAGAGGAGGTGGCTTTTCTACGACTGCATCTGGTAAGGCTAGTTCTGGATCATGACCTTGAAGGGGTGTCACGTGATCATAACAGGTGCTAACTTTTTCAAATTCCAAGCAGATGATCATAACGTACTATGAATAATTCGTTTTTCTCTAACACACAAATTTCTGGTTGTGTGTGGGTAGGAAAACTGGCCATCCCCCTCCAAACATCTGCTTGTACACGATGTGCCTGCGTTGCTAGCAAAAGTTGCAATTCTAGATCTAATTCTGAATAACCGTACAATTTCTCATGCTCCCAGCTGGTTGCATTGCGCCGAGAACAGCGACTTGATGTTGTCAATACACTCGTGATTGCTGGGGTATGCTGCACTGACATAACCCTTCAAATACCCTGGAAGCCAGAGTACAGCGGGTTTCGGCTGATTTCTTATCGGCCCGCCAAGCACATATACCCGCGAAACACGATCCAGCTGGCCAGGGTAGTTAGCGTCCCCGAAAAGAAATCAGCCGCGACCCGCTGTACTCTGGCTTCCAAGGTACCCTTCAAATTAGTCAACTCCAACTCGTGCGTGTGCATACGATTACAAGTATGCAGACACTTGTGACAAGTGTTTGTTTTGTTGACAGACATTCCTACATAGCCATCATCAAGGCCCAGAGGTGAGATGACATGGGTTCAGTAAGCAGCAAGGAAAATAAACAAAGGTGCACAAGGAATAACACGGTCAACCATTGAGGGTTAAGGCGACATGAACAGTGTTTTCCTTACGTGTGCACATGCTTTACGTACAATTCACAACATTGTATAAAGGTTAATGAATATAAAGCTGTCTTCTATACAAACAATCCAGAATATTTGTAGCCTTACAGAGGAAAAATATGGAGATGCCGGGGATCGAACCCGGGGCCTCACACATGCAAAGCGCGCGCTCTACCACTGAGCTACATCCCCTACATTTTCTCAATGTGATTTTTCAGGGCTTTCCCGTGAAAAAGGCAAGTTGCTATGTCCTGAACAAAATTCACAAATATGAGAAAATATATCATTGTGATCATGAAACGTTTTGAAAGGGTGATCCCTTATATCACGAAAGTATACCATTCTTCGCAGTGTGTCTGGAGTATTGCATTCAGAAAGAAAAAAAAAAGATTTATTTGCGGGTCCAGATAAAGAAAAGACTGGAGATGCCGGGGATCGAACCCGGGGCCTCACACATGCAAAGCGCGCGCTCTACCACTGAGCTACATCCCCGTCTGTGCTGCTTACCTGTCAATATGATTTTGCCCCACTTCCAAAAGCAAAGTAATACATTGTACCACACAAGAGGCTCCGCCCCTGAGACGTTGTCAAGAAGCATAGCAAATACTTGGGCGCGCCCTTCGTAAAAAAACAATAATTTTAGAAATATAGTATATAAAATAACAGAAATGTTTTAAAGTACGATTTTGGGACACAAAGATGGAGGCGAACGTAGCTTCAGTGCAATATAAAGTAAGTGAAAACGCTCAATAGAAAAACAAAAGCTCCAATTCTAAGGTGAAATTATATTCTACACTGTATCCGTTTTATTGCATGTAGCATCTTTTAGTCTCTTAGGACGATACGTACATACAGGAATATTTAGATGGTCCTGTACTAAAATAAAAAGAATTGTGGAGATGCCGGGGATCGAACCCGGGGCCTCACACATGCAAAGCGTGCGCTCTACCACTGAGCTACATCCCCGCACGATGCAGCCGCCTGGCAAATAGTCAGATCCTCAATAGGAAGCGTCAAGTACACTAGACTGCATGTATATTTATTAGTCTCGCTATAACATGGGTGCCAGAGTAATTCCGTGCAATTTTACGGAATACAATGCAATCGTATTAGTATACTGTGCAATTTTACGGAATACAGTGCAATCGTATTAGTATACAGTACAATTTTACGGAATACAGTGCAATCGTATTAGTATACAGTGCAATTTTGAACTAGTAAAATTGCTCTGTATTCCGTAAAATTGCACTGTATACTCTGGCACCCCTGTATAACGTATAGCTTGGTTGGCTTATATACACCAACATAAGAACGAACTCTATTGGTCGATAATTGTATGTTGGCTAATTAAAGACTCGATATAATCCATGATGCATGTATGTAGTGAACGACGATATGAATTCGGAATAACAGGAACTGAGATAGCACTGCGCTATCTTTAAAAAAATCGATATTTCTGAAACGTTGTTTTTCCCAAAACATCTGCTACCGAACGTATCAGATAAGCAATTCAAAACAATTGATGAGGCGATGGCAATGCATGGGTCGATCGATAAGTAAGCTTTGACTCAGATCCGTGCTGTTGTAAATATATACGCAGCTGTTGCCTGTAACGAATTACTCGCCATGTACGTATTTATCTAGCTTAACTCAGTTTGATCAAGGACGTTCTACCACTAGCCTGGGTACCATCCCCAGTAGTATATTCGCAAACTCTATAACAGTTATAGAGTTTGCGAATATACTACTGGGGAGTGGTACCCAGGCTAAGGCAAATGACCTGCTGGCCATCAAAGTAAACAAACCATGGTAACAAGACACTAAACGACCTGCACATGACAGCTTGATAAAATACAAAAGTGCCACCACAAATCATTCTGCTGATAAAAACAAAGTTTGACTCATAATATCTCTATTG